ATATTATTAAAAATAACTAAATTTCAAATATCTAACCTTCTTACTGCAGATATGACCATTATTAAAGCTGGAAAATTTCACATAAATTAATAAATTATTCAGGAGCCTTTATTTAGTCTATTAGGTGTAAGGTCATGAAGTTGAATTTTTGATTATTTTTTATTTTATAGTTTTCTCCATAATAATAATATATAGAAAAAATATTAAATAATTTTATTTTTTTAATATAAAATGGCTAAAGTTTTCGTGTAAAAGAGTAAAGGGGGTCGAAACTAGGAAAACATTAAAACATTTAAAAAATTAATAGTAATAAAATATTCTATTTTAATCGTTAAAACATTTATGTCAATTTAGACTAAATTAAAGTTTTTTAATTAGGTACCTACTCATTTAAAATAATTTGAAACATAATTTTTTTTAATTTAAATTTTAGATATTTAACTATCTCTGTACCCAGGTCAAAGTATTTTGAACTTAAAAAATTGCAATTCATATGACATACATAAATAATATAGGGGAGTGACATATAATAACTTAAAAACAATAGAAAGATGCACCCCTCAATAAAAATTGACGTATTTTGTGAATTTTTATGATATTCTAATTCAGGTTGGATCATTTTTAAAAAATCGTTATGTACTACATAAAATTTTAATTCTTAAGTATATTAGTGTTCTATACTCTGGTTTGAGCTTTTAATTAACTATCAGCAGACTAATTTTTTAATGAATTCTGAATAATTATCTTTCGTTTGTACTAAGTCTTCAACTTGATAAAATTGCTTGGAAAATTTCCTCCGGCAAAATTAGAATCCACTATCGGACGATTGGCAGACCACTTATTTCATTAATTATAATTAATAAACTTTAATTTTGCTTACTACAATCATGTCGTTATAGCGTTTGTATGCATCTCTGATAGACCGACAATATTTTTCTTTTATACTTAATATATTAAATATAAACATGGTATAAAAGTAATTTTAAAAAATCGACTTCAAAATCGTGCAGATGTAAATGAGTTGTTTTATTTTCTCATAGATCATCAGATCCTGACTAATTGTATATGGGACTACCCCTAATTTATCCCCTTTTTAACAAAAAAAAAGAATCCTAGAAATCGGACAATGTGGTAAAGAATTATCGCTTAAAATACAAAAAAAAAATTAAGTTTGATGATTTTCTCATTAAGGATCTGGTGAGGCGAGACGTCGCTTTTGGAAGGAGGCTCCCGATACGCTCCCACTGCTTTAGCAAACATGGACTCCACTTCACCAAGATATAATAATAATACTCTCCCTAATTCACCCCCTTACGAGTGAATTTCAACCCCTGAAGTCGACTGAACGACTTGTGTAGGGGAAGGGACGGCTATTATTATTATTTGCCGTGGCGATCCGGGGCGAATTTTTTTAATCTGCATGTCATATCAACAGAAATTGAATTTCTATTAATACGCCACACATCAAATCCTAAACCGAACCATGCAATTTAATTAAAAATCCACATGGTCTGGTCTGGGATTCGAAACCCAGCAGTCTCAGACTCATATCTTCCATAAGCCATATTAAGATATAACAGAACCAATAGAAGAGCCGGAAGTGGCAGGTACGATTCATATCTACACCGATGGTTTCAACACAAAACAAGGCTTAGGGTGTGGAATCTACTCCAGATTCCTAAACCTAAATATAAAATGGGTTGTGAACAATAGTGCCAATGTAGTTCAAACAAAGCTAACGGGGATTCTCATAGCAGCAAAAGAAATCACCAGAAACAATATCACTGAAAGGAACATGCTCATCTATACAGATAGCAGACAAGCACTACTCACCCTAAACAGATCACGAATTCACTCAGGGTTAGTACTTGAATGTCACGAAGCTTTGGCCGAAGTATCCATCAACAATGTGGCCACCTTAAGATGGATCAAAGGTCACACCACATCAAAAGATAACCGTCTTGCTGATTCACTATTCAAGAAAGCAGCCAACCAAATAATTTTTGGATCTGGCCCTTTTATTGGCCTGACAGACCTAATTAAAGAACATTCCCTTGTGAAATTCAAGGAAAGATGGAATGACACAAGAAACTGCAGAGTTGCCAGAGAGCTCTTAAGTTATCCTGCCAACACTGCAGCAAACAAATATTTGACTATGACTAGTCAGAATCTGCGCCTAGTCACAGGCATTATGTCTGGTCATTGACAAGTACGAAAGCATATGAATATCAAGGGGCTGTCAGAATCCGCCCTCTGCAGAGGGTTCGAACAAGAAGACGAGACCATCGAGCATATCCTTTACGATTGCTTGACGCTCTCGTTTCTTAGATGATTTGTGTTCGGCGAGTATCGACTAACACCGGCCGATATAAGAGAAGCACCTCTTGGCGACTTTGTCAACTAGATTAAATCTGTAGGCTGGCTCCGTCGTTTATAGTTCACTAGTGAACAGATCCATAGTCTTTTTTAAAAAACTTGAAAACAGGAGGAGGTCCTCAATTCGTCTGTACCAACTCGAATATATGTTAGTCTGATCCTAGTATATTCTTTGTCTATGAACCGATTTTAATGATGGTTTTTGGCGACGTTGTCAACTAGATTAAATTTGTAGGCTGGCTCACAAGATAGGAGGTACCTATAATTTTAGGAGGATTCACATTTGGCCTAGTGAGGCCTAAGTACCGTAGGGAAAACCAACCCTCCACACGTTACAGATACAGATCGATGGACCCCATTATTAGATCTTTACCAAATTTATATGGGACCACCCCTGGAAACATAAGACTTTAATATAAAGCGCACAAAATACTTTTAAAATTACATAGGAGAAGTATATTTGCATTCTTGATACCAGTTATTATCAGTTGAATATATTTTTTCCCGTTACAACTATTACAGTTGTATAGTGTTTATCAGGAAAGTACGCAATTAAGTGACACAGCCGTGTAAAGCAAACGTAGTAGACATTAAGACTTGATTCATTTATAAAATGCATCCTCAGATAAACATACTTGCACAAACCATCTCCTCCCATATTAGCTGTTTTCTTCTTTCTTATACGCCAACCGAGGCGACAGCTCTGTCTGCGTAATAATAAACACAATCTGAATGGTGGCAATAAAAAGGGACATAATAATGAATTAATGAATTGGTCGTTGAGTTAAATGTATCCATTTAATGGTAAGGTGTTAATATGCAATAAGAAAAGAGTTGGTCCTAGTTTCAAACATTGCTGTAGATACATCACATACACCTCTTTTTCTGTATTAATTACTTTCAGCATTGATCACTTTCCATGATATTTAGCAGAACCTCATGGAAAACAATGTCAAATGCTTTTTTTATCAACTTTTTTTAGTATTTTGGTGCGCAATTAATTATCTAACAGCAATATCATTGCTGCTTATTTTTTTAAAGCCTTACTGCTTTTAAACTGCTTTTATCCAGAAATTTACAGACTCTTCTATTAACACATAACTCCAGTGCTAGATGTATGTATAAGATAGGTATTTCTGAAAAAAAAACAAGAAATAAATTGAAAACATTTTCTTTTGAAACTAAAGATTCGACCAATTTACTCGTATGAAATCTGTGAAATTTACTAATTATAAGAGGACTAAGAAAATCAATTTGTATTGACATGCACCTATGTCTTACCTACGAGGATGGGATGAATAATTTTCATCCTGATTTATAGCGGGCCATGGTTTAAATCATTTGTTTATTGTTCTATATCATTGTCAAATTATGTCATTAGGTTTTCTGTGAAATATTGTAAGTTTGTGTCCAGTGGTTTGTATTTGACAGTCTGCTATACTAATCAAGTTCAAGGTTTTTGAATAATGTAGAAACTCGAAGTACAAGCTGTCATAAAATATTTCCACATTAACGGTTCAAATGCGGCGAAAATTAAAGCAGAGCTGAATTCTACTTTAGACAAGTCTGCTTAATTATTTTCAATGGTCAAAGAAAGCCAAAATCAGCAACGACGAAGATATATGGTCCTCAAAGTCCATACAATTGTTTTAAGTGACTGCAAATTTTAGTTGGTGGAGATAGCTGAAGCTGTGGCTATTCCTAAAGAGCAAACACATTACACGTTATGAGAAAAATTTCGATATGATGAAGCTGTTCCAATGGCTCACATCCAAGCAAAAACTTATTGGTATAAACCTTTTAGAAAAGTATTTATTGCTATTTAAGCGCAATTTAAAAAATGTTTTCTGCATATGTACAACTACGGATGAGTCTTGGCTTCGCCATTAAACACCGAATACCAGAATACTAAACAAATCAACAAAGAACCAGTCCTAAACAGGAGCAAAATGGTTCCATCTGCCGGAAAGGTTATAGATTCGGTATTTTGGGATACAAAATGCAATACTTTTATTGATTGCTATGAAACAAAAAATTCTTGAGGATAGATTGGGATTTTCAAAAAAAAAAGTATTGTCCCATTAGGACAATGTGCCGTGTCATAAATCCATTATTGTGATCGCTAAAATTCATAAACTGGGCTTTGAATTACTGGCGCCTGTATCAGAATTCGCCCCTCTGCACTTAAATTTATTTCTAAACTTTAAAAAATTTATGCTAGCAAGATATATACGGAGATATATAACCAAGAGATATAGGCGTCTGATTTTGAAGAACTAGACAAATCGACCTATAGGAGCGACATAAATGGCCTTGAATTTCGTTTGACAAAGTGTATTGCGCTATAAGAAAAAATAAAATGATTTTGACTCTGTATTTTGTTTTTTATTTTTATCTTAGGCTGAAAGTTATTCATCCCATCATCGTACGATAACATTTTAGTAAATTAGATGTATTATTTTTAAGAAACTTTTTGCGCACTGTATTAATGGAACAAAAAAAATACAAAATAAAAAAATTCCGCGGCGCGAAATTCCAAATTGCTCTCACTCTCGCGGCTCCCCTCTCCCCCGTAATTGAAAAACCGTGAATAACATATCGGCATAAACAAATGAATAGGTGTTATGATATTTGTCGCATTTACAATTCTAATGGTCCGAAGTAACAGTTTGGATTTTTTGTTCAGTGCTCAAGAATATGACAATCACAAAATATTATATCAGCGCAATTTTTGAAGCTAAGGATGTTGCTCAGATTGCTGCCATCGTCATTGGTAAGTAACGCTAAAAGAATTAATGAGAAATGAGTCATATAAAATTTTTAATTTAATAAAATATAATTTGCATATAAAAAGTGCTAATAGTAATAGAAAAATACAGGTTACATTTTTGGTTAGCTTTTTTATTTTGAATATTATCTTTAATTATAAGCCGTTAAATTTCCCCATTTTAAAATAGTCCTCAAACTAAATACCTATTATTTGAGTATTTATGTAGATATACTCGTATCGCTTTAGTTATGAATCCATTATATTATAAATATGTTATTCCGTTATTTATAGAATTAAAGAAGATATTTGTGAACAGATCCATAGTCTGTTTTAAACGACTTCAAAACAAAAGGACGTTCTCAATTCGTCTGGATACTCGTATGTATCTAAGTCTGATCCTAGTATTATATTCTTTGTTAATGAACCGATTTTAAAAATGCTTTTTGTGCTGGGTTCAGTACAGTTCCAGGGTGATTTCATTTTAATTTCATTGGTATTGGTCATTGCTGTTGACCCCCAACAAGAATAAACAGCCTTAATAATAATAAAATTATTATTATTTATTAGTGATCACTTTGTAGTCAGTTTTCAAATGGTGCACTTTCGTGAAGCAATATCGTGTTATATATTTTTCAAAAAAATCTTTGTGCCATTCCTGGACGTGATCTAAGGGAGAACACCGCCCCTTTTTACCCCCTTTAAAAATAATATAGATTTATGGATGGAATTTGGACCTACATAATATATAAAAATTGAAGGACAGTTTTGCCGCCAAAAAAGGATTTTTCAAAACTCGAATTTTAAGGAGGTGACACTACCCCTTCAATATTACAGTAATTTTTATTTAAAAAAAAATCATTGGTTTCGCCAATAAATGCTTGAACACGTATTTTTTATATTTTTTACATATATGAACTTTTTTTTTCCAAAATTATTTTCTCGTAAAGGGGAGAAAACGACCCCCTTTTCGTCAATCCGAAACCATTAGAGGTGTAAAGCTGAATTTTGGCTTACATATAGATTATTGGGTGTAAGGGGTTCGATAAAAAGGAATTTTTCAATACTCGAATTTTAAGAGGGTAAAACCACCCCTTCAATATATTACAATATTATTTTATTATGATGGGAATTAAGTGTTAATACATTTCTACCTAAAAGATGAATTATGACTCCTTCTGTCGCTAATGCAGCAAGGAAATGTCTCGATGCCTATAACGACCCATCCAATTCTATCTTCTCAAGGAAGTGTATGATTTGAAGTGGCTTCAAGTTAGGTAAATCTCCCTCTTCTATTTGATATGCTCCTAGTTATAGTGTCCTTGGATTTTGAAGTGCTACATATTCAGTCAGAATCTGAATGGAGGTTTCGTCCTCCTCCTTACAAATCTGCACTCACTATCTTCTCCTATTCTCAGTCTACTAAGGTGTCCTTTGAGTCGACAATGTCCGGTAAGGATAAAATATAGGCTTCCGATCTTTTCTGGTTATAAATATTTTCTATTAAAAAAAATACATTGGTTTCGCGTAAAAGTGCTTAAACAAGCATTTTTTTTATTCGAAATTTTTTTTCCGAAACGATTTTCCCATAAGGGGATGAAAACAGCCCCCTTTTCGTCAAGCCGAAATCACTAGAGGTTAAAAATAGCTAAATTTTGGCTCTCATATAGATTGGTGGGTATAGAGGGTAAATAAGAAGGGATTTTTTAAAACTAGAATTTTAAGGGGGTGAATCCGCCCCTTAAATAATACATAGCGTGAAATCAGTTTCCATTGGAACAAGGCGATCTTTGTACAAAAATGTAGGTCGTCCGTTTATTTAAATAAAGCCATTTTCCAATGGAAAGTGATTCCAAGGAGCTCAAGCGAAACGCTCACAAAAGAATTATTCAATCTTTAGCTGATGTTTTCGTACTGGCATTGAGAATGTACCCACTATTTTCTGTAAACCCTATATTTGTCTGCCTTAGAGCCAGCAATCGTGAAATATATTTGCAACCAATATGTAACTATCTGGGTAAATTGAAGTTTGACGCACTTCTGGGACTTCATGCATTGTCAGCAGCAGGTATTACAGGAGTTTTTGGGGGAAAATCTACTTCTGTAAAACATTCTTGTAGTTATCTAAATTAACTCTGGAAGCTTTGACTTCATTGGGAATTCCCTTCGGAAACTGTCTATTGATTTTTAATGAAAAGTAAGCACAAATCCTCCCTAAATATGTGTTTAAGTAAGAATGCGTTAATATATATGCCCTATGTGTTGATTCTTTAATTTTTTGAATTATTTAATCATTTATATTAATTATTTACTATTTATCTTCTTAATTTTTTTCTTTTCTGTTCTGCACAAACTTTGGCGTTTTCTTCTCTATTTTCTTACTTAATTATCGGTTATTTTCAAGTCTAGGAGCTTCTTTAATTGGATTAGTTAGGCAAGCGTACCTTAACCAAATGTTTTTGGATTTATAAATGTAAAATGTCAAGAACAATAATAAGACAACGAGGAAAATCGAGAAAATAATGTGAAATGAAAATATTTGTTTCTCTTCTTTATCTATACATTAGCTCTGAGTTCATTATGTTATAAATGTTATTCTATTATTTATAGTATTAAAGAAGATCTTTGAGAACAATCCAACAAATTCTTTTCTTATTGAAAAACAAAAGTGATTTCTCTAAATATGGGTTTAAGAAAGATTGCATTTATATGTGCCCTATTTTTTGATTATTTCATTTTTTAAATGCTTTAATAATTTATATTATTTCTTTATTATTTATCTTCAACTATTTTCTGTTTCACACAATTTGTTTTCCTATTTATTTACCGATTATCACATTTTTCAAGTCTTTATAAGTATCTTTACTTAGATTAGACCAAATCTTTGTAAAAATTTGACGAAGATAATAGAGAAAATAATGTTAAATGAAAATATTTGTCCTCCACGTTGACTTTGGCGCCTCACCTTTGATTATGAACAACCTAAAAAATATTGACCAGCATTCTCAGGTGGCGATTTCTAACAGCTTGACAATGAATTGTGTTTTCCATTACATGCATTTTAAGTCAATTCATAATAGTTTTCAAACTTACTAAGAATGAAAGTATCATTATATTTGATTTTATATTTCATTTATACCGTGTGAAATTAAGACGTGATTTATTAAAAAAATATTCTTTGTAATGTCCCCAAAATTTTTAAATTTGTGACTGTTCACCCTAGAATAGCTTATGACTAAACATATTATTAATATAATTATTTTACCAATAATTCCGATGACACCAAATTAAAAAAAATACCATGGAATTTTTTTGTTAGAAATTGTACTGCCATCTTTCTAGTTTGACAAAAATCTAATGCATTTTCTATTATCGTTATCCAATGATGTAACAATTTTTTCTTTATTGCTAGTGACATTTTTGTTTATGTTTATGCATAAACAACTGTGTTAGGCTGGGTGTAGTTCAAAGCCCACTAGTAATAAAGCTCTAGGATTTTGTATCCCTATCAATTTTTGCACCATCGAGATAATACTCTTGATGTATTTAAAGATGAACCAGCTTCCATTTAAAGTTTAGAAAGTGGGGAATAGTAGTAAAGAAGCTTTTTGTCTTCCTCTTTACATTTATTGGAATCATCAAAAAACATGTAGATGTCTGCTAAGACCATAAAATCCAGTAAAGAGTCTTGAGTTTTTTGCCGATTGTATCTGATATTGAATGAATAATGCAATTATATATTTCTTTTAGCTTTAACCCAATTGGATTTTTTGGCCCATTTACTCTTTAAATTCACTGTTTTATACACATTGCTTATTCTACATCTACTTAAATCGTAGAAGTTATTCAATTGCTCGTATGTGGCCATTTTCATAAACGATTTTGCGAATTTTATTATCGTTTCTATTTTATTTTCTTGGATCGTAGATTAAATTTAAATATGCTTTCGAGTAGAACCACACGATTTGTAAACAGTTATCCATATTTGGGCTTTTACATATTTTTAAATGAACATTAATAGCATTAAGAATAAGAATAAAAACTTCTGACGTAGAATAGTTGAAATTAAAGACCAAAATACTTTATCCGTCATCATTAATAGGTTAGTTCCAATAGCAGTACATAACTGTTTTGAATTTATCTGCGCATGAGTAGTTCGAAGAATAGAACAGTTAAATCGTTGCTACTCATGCGCAGATAAATTAAAAAGTGTTCTGTACTGCTGTTGAAACAAACCTATTATTGTCTGGTTTATGAATAGAAAAAAAAATAAAAAATCAGAGTTATCACAAAAGGAGAATAATGAAATAAAATAATGAAATAAAGCTATCTCACATCGCTTAAGGATATAAAAAAAATATGATAAAATAATGTTAATACATTCCACATCCGTATGATGCTGCTGTAAAGAACTTTCAAATTATTAAAATATTAACGCTATTGTAATAATTTAGTCATAAATTAATTATAAATTAAACAAATACTAAACTAATTACTACACTTTTGTCATTGAATAATTTTAGAATCTTCATAATATTATTAATTATTTTTACTTTGTTTAGATATTTTGGAATGCTGCAAGTATTTCATCATTATATTATTTTTTTATTGGTACCTATTCTAAAAAATTGTTTTGAAGGTATTGATTAGATATTTTATTTTAAATTTTATTTCATATTTATTTATTTGTTGCTTTGTTATATTATAATCTCTAGTATTCACCAAGTTGAATAGTATAGATAATATCGGAACTTTTTGTTTTAACCCACTATTTTATTTATTTTGAATCATTTCGAAACTCAGATCAGATGAATAACAATTTGAAAATTTGGAAACAAATCTCAAAAATCCCCCTACGAATTATTAAAACCATCCCCGAAACCTAAAGGTGAAAACAAATACTTGGAGATTTGAAAAAAAAGCCTGTCTGCTCTAGGATTCGAACCCAGGAATATTTGTTTTGTACACAAATGCCCTACCTCTGCACCATCGCGACATTGACTGTC